TGTGTTTATCTCATATACCCAAACTGAACATAGGGAAAATCTAAATAATAATCTTGAGCTGAATATTGCAAAAAACAAGAACACACTAACAGATGACTAGATGAAATAACTTCCAAACAGTTTTGAACTAGGGATGAACACTGTATTGATTCTCCATTAATAATATCCTTGAACATTTATTGGTAGGAAGAGTTTTAAAGGATTATAAAATTTGTAATGCTGTAGTTAGGATTTGATCAAAGAAACAGTAGCACTATGAATGAGACAAGTTTTATTATAGAAATTTGACATTACACAATTATTGGAGCTAGTTAAATAGTTTATGTATGGTTTTGTTTCAATATCTGGTTCGGGGTCTGATGTTAGTGTGGCAGACAGCTGGAAAGAAAAGACAGACATGAATGGAGAACAAGAACAAATGGAAATCCATGAGGACAAGCAGGAATCTACCTTGGTTCCTTACTACCTACAAGGCTTTTTGATATTATAGGTAAACTATAGAGAAGCTAGTGTTCCTGTGTGTGTGTGTGTGTGTTGTGGTCCTGGGGATCCAGCACATGGCAAGGGCTGTACGGATGAACTACATTCCCAGCCAAAAGGCATTTTTCCAATTATTGAAGGGGAATAAAAGTGTCCTTTGGAAATGTTTTATTTCTTGTTAAGGATAGTAATTACATGGGTGTATACATACATAATCATTAAGTAAAACTACACTTATTCCAAATGAACTTTTCTCTCTTTGTCCTTATTTTTTTAATATTTATTTTTTTAGTTGTAGTTGGACACAATATATTTATTTACTTTTATGTGGTGCTGAGGATTGAACCCAGGGCTTCACACATGCTAGGCAAGCACTCTACTGCTGAGTCACAACCCCATCCCATGTCTCTTTGTCCTTAAAATGAAAGATTGTGGGACTGGAATTTTAGCTCAGTGATAGAGCACTTGCCTAGCACGTGTGAAGCACTAGGTTCAATCCTCAGCACCACATAAAAATAAATAAAGGTATTGTGCCCATCTACAACTAAAAAAAAATTTTTTTAAATGGAAGATTAGAGTAGGAAATGAAACATGCCTTCTTTTTACAATGGGTCTGGTTCAAAATTTTGATGTTATCATCAAAATATTAGTTATAGGGATGGGGATATAGCTCAGTGGCACAACACTTGATGAACGTGCACAGGTTCTGAGTTCAATCCCCAACACCCCAAAAGATATAAAATAAACAAAAAAACATGATTGCAGATAACTGTGCTAGATACCTTTTTTTTTCTTTTTACCCTTCCACTGCTTCAAATGAGCTTGCCAGTCCTTCCTTCTCCAAGTTTGCTCAAACATATTCCCCTCTAGCTGTAGTCAGTTGGACCTGGAATAGACCAAGATGGGCTCTCTGGCTTCTCTCTCCTAAATTAGAGTTGTGATCAAGAAACTCCAGAAGTCTCTTTTGATTGCTTGAACTGAAAATTGTTATGTAGCTGCTATGAATATGCATTGCATCTATATGGGCTTGTGCATGTGTGGTGGTGGGTGAGTTATCTAGGCCCCTGCTATACTGTGATTTTTCTTTTCTTTTTCTTTTTCAAAGAGAGAAAGAGAGAGAGAGAGAGAGAGAGAGAGAGAGAGAGAGAGAGAGAGAGAGAGAGAATTTTTTTTTAATATTTATTTTTTAGTTTTCAGCAGACACAACATCTTTCTTTGTATGTGGTGCTGAGATCGAACCCAGGCCGCACGCATGCCAGGCAAGTGTGCTACCGCTTGAGCCACATCCCCAGCCCCTATACTGTGATTTTTCTTGGGGGGGAGGGGATGCAGGTATCAGGGATTGAACCCAAGAGCACTTGACTACTGAGCCACATCCCCAGCCCTACTTTGTATTTTATTTAGAGACAGGGTCTTACTGAGTTGCTTAGTGCCTCCCGGTGATATATTTTTTTTAATATTTATTTTTTAGTTGTAGTTGGGCACAATACCTTTATTTTATTTATTTTTATGTGGTGCTGAGGATCAAACCCAGGGCCTTGCTCATGCTAGGCGAGCATCTACCACTGAGCCACAACCCCAACCCTGTGATATTTATTTTTTTTTAATATTCTTAGTTGTAGATGGACACAATGTTTGTTTATTTAGTTTTTTTAATGTGCTGCTGAGGATGGAACCCAGGGCCTCACACATGCTAGGCAAGTGCTCTACCACTGAACTATACCCCCAGCCCCTTATGATATTCTTCTATGGAAATCTGACCAGACTAAATCAACCATTTTTTTAAAATTAAAAAAAAAAAACAACCAAACCCCTGCCCCCCCCAAAAAAACCCCCAAACCAACCAAACAAACAAAAACACAGGTGTGGTGGTACATGCCTGTAATTCTAGTTATTTATGATGTTTGCGAGTTCAAGACCAGCCTGGGCAATTTGGCCAGACCCTATCTCAAAACAAAATTAAAAAAAAAAAAAAAAAGGTGGGAGTGTTCTGCTTAGTGGCAGAACACTTGCCTAGCATGCATGAGGTACTGAGTTCAATCCCAGTAAATAAATAAATAATGCCTTTTTTATTAACAAAAAAAAAAAACATATGGATGTGAAAAAATTCAAACCATATAAAAGGTCAAAAAGTCACAGGAGGGCTGGGGTTGTAACTTAGTGGTAGAGCACTTGCCTAGCATGTGTGAGGCACTGAGTTTGATCTCAGCACTGCATATAAATAAAGGCCCATCAACAACTAAAAAAATATTTTTAAAAAAGTCATAGGATACAGTGGTGCATGCCTGTAAGCCAAGCAGCTCAGAAAACTGAAGTAGGAGGATTACAAGTTCAAAGCCAGCCTCAGCAACTTAGCAAGACCTCTCAAAATAAAAAATAAAAACGAGCTGGGGATGTTGCTCAGTGGTTAATGTCCCTGGGTTCAATCCCCAATACCAAAAAAAAAAAAAAAAAAAAAAGGCATAAGGAACTCTTTTACTCCCTTCAAGAATGACCAATGTAATGTCAATTTTTGCTTTAGAAGAAGAAAAGTTTGTCAACATGCATGCTTTATGTATTCATAAATGTTTTTGGGAATATGTTCTCCAAACTATGACTATATATCACCAAGATTTTTAGATCCTAAGACACAATGTAACATTTATCCTTCCCATTATCATTTTACATGTTGTTCATTTCTGTATTTCTCCAATTATATAAATGAAAATTAGTATCTTTATGCTATATTACTCTCTTTTAAGATTATTTCATTAGGATAATTTCCTAATAGTGAAATTGGATCAATGAATGTATTTTTATGGAACTTGAAATATTGCCAAAAATTGGTTTCCAAAAAGATATGTGCCAATTTACATTTCTATCAGCAATGTGAACAGAGACTAACATGAGATAACCTTTTTTAAAACTATTTCCTTAATATGATAGTCAAAAAAAGAAACCTTGCTTTAATTTACATTTTTAAATTACTGATATTGAAAATTTTCAAATATTACTCATTTGTATTTCCTTTTTGTGTATTAACAATTCATATTTTATATCTATGTTTTAAATCAACCTTATTGATTTGTTATGAGCCCTTCATATAGTATATTACTTCTTTATGAGTAAATACTGATTTGTTCCATTTATAATTGATGTTTCTTTTAATTCTCTGAGCCCAATCAACAAATATTTATTCTATCTTTATGCTTCAGGTACTGTGGTAGGAATTATCATTAAGTTACTTTACATATTGAATCTTTAGATCATCCATTGTTTAAAGTTTATAAAGATTGAACTTAAAGATCAAAGCAAAACCCCACACAAGATGCTATAGCACAGAGTCTGTGGGTCAGAGGTTGCCCTTTCTAGCTTTCATGAGATTGTGGTAAAACGCTGGACAGGGATGGAATCATCCAAATGCATAATTCAGGTTGCAGGATCTGTGAAGAGAGTACACTCATATGCCTGGCAAGTCGGTGCCCTATGTTGCTAAAAACTTTTGTTCCTCTCCAAAGTAGAGTTTTTGTGGGCTGTTTGAATAGAATGGCAAGATGACTGGCTTCCCCCAGAGCAAGCTATCCAAAAGAATGAGATAGAAAGCTGTTATCAGTGCCTTTATGACAGCTTCAGAAGCTATATTATCTTAACTCTCTTGGTTAAAGTAACCTTGACACAAATGACTAGAGAAGACTCAATCCTGAGAGCTAAGAATCACTGGTGGCCAGTCACAGAATCCCACCCTATTGATTTTCTTGCAGCGTACTTTATAAAGAATTCTGTGCAGCACAAAATTCTAGTACATTTTAATTTTGTTCAACACTCTTAAAAATAGCTGTGATTTCAATCACATGTGCACATGGATGCACTCAAGCACACAAAACTTTGTTTACAGAGTTCCACAAATTAGAGACCTTCTGCTACAATGTCAGCTCATGAACTTCATAAAGGCAATAGATTCCACTTCAAAAATGTCTGAATTTGAATAAGTAGAGGTCAGGATTGCAGTTAAGGTCCAAGAAGGGCTTTTTTGGGGCACAGGGGATTGAACTCAGGGGCACTTAACCACTGACATACATGCTAAGCACTCTTTTGTACTACTACTTCTTTTTTATATACAGGGTCTCACTGAGTTGCTAAGGGCCTAGCCATTGCTGAGGCTGGCTTTGACCTCTGGATCCTCCTGCCTCAGCCTCCCAAACCACAGGCCTGCGCCACAGCACCCGGTAAGAAGCTTATTTTGTACCAACTCCTAATAACAATTAACTAAGAAAACACTTGGAGTTTTACCAGAAATCTTTAGTTTTCTAGGAACCTTTACCTGTGTTCAATATTTACTTTATTACAAAATAAAACAAAAAAAATTCTTGCAGATTATAGTAATTTGCTTAAGGTGATTCAGCTTGTAGAGGAGTAATTAAGGAAACTGAGGGAGAAGCTGGGTAGGTGAAAAGATTACCAAGTCAGAACAAGATAGACAACTATAGCTTTCACCTCTCCTATAGGACAGGGCAAGAGGTACTTCTGTAAAATCTTTGGGACTCACACTTGTTGCCCAGATGGCCTCAAACTCCCAGGATCAAGCGATTTTCGTGCCTTAGCCTCCCAAGTAGCTGGGACTACAGACAGACACGCACCACCGTGCCCGGTACTGGTTACAGTTAATTAAAGTTCATCAATTCACAGACCTAAGAAAACAAAAGCATAGTCCTAAATTTTGCCAACTTTCCTCCTTTAGCGATTAAACTGAGGCTAGAATGGGAAAGTAGGAAGCACCAATTAAGTCTACAAAATAAAGTTTAGTTTTTATTTGAGAGACTGGGGACTGAACCCAGGAATGCTCTACCACTGAGTTACATCCCCAACCGCTCCCTTCCCCCCTTTTAAAAATTTTATTTAGAGGCAGGGTCTCACTGAGTTGCTAAGTGCCTCGCTAATCTGTTGAGGCTGGCATTGAACTCGCGATCCTCCTGCTTCAGCCTCCCCAGTTGCAGAGATTACAGGCGAGCGCCACCAAGTCCCGCCCTTCCCTTTTAGAGACAGGGTCTTCCGAAATTGCCCAGGCTGGTCTCGAATTTGCAATCCTCCCTCCTCAGTCTCACCAAGTACCTGGGATGACCGGGGTGCTTCACAGCTCCTAGCTAAAAAAAAAGAAAAAGAAAAAAAGAATTTCTTAATCCACAAACAGCATCCTTATTCCATTTCCCTAAAACCAAAGCAACAAAAGCTTGGGTTGGTGCCTAACAAGAGCGTTCCCCTCCACCTCCTAACGAGCAGCTCATCTTTGGTCACATAGTCCTTTTAATATCCCCGTTGGTTTTCTGGTACAAAAGTGTTCTAGAGGAGGGAGTCACATACTTCTTTAATCCTCAAGCTCCAATTTTCACCTGGGCTTGTTACCAATACACCACCCTCTCTACAGCTGTACCGGGTTTCAGCTGACATCAAATTGTGCTTACTTCTACCTCTACCTCGGTATTCTAAAGACTATGGTCACGGAGGGCCTCTAGCTCAGCAAAGAGAGCCTTGCGAGGAGACAAAGTCTACCAAAGAAAACGGGCTGCGCGAGATAAATCAACAGACGTGTGGCCTCACCCTGCTTCCTTCATAGTCCTCAGCCCCACCCTTCCCGACCGGAACCACATCCCCGCGCTTCGCGCCCCCACGCTTGGCGTGACGTGAGCGCCCGAAGCGGCTCGAGCCCTCACAGCCTCCCACCGACGCCCTGGACAGGCACTGGGCGGGCGCATGTTCGGCGGGCGGGGCCTCTCGGGTCTCGAGGCGCTGCAATCTGTTGCGCCGTCGTCCGCGGGAGCCGGCAGATCCGGGTCTCGTGGCTAAGAGTGACGTGGTCAATCGAATCCAAACACAGGAGGGGGAGGACGCCGGCAGCCAGGAGCACCAGCGGCAGCGGCGTCCGGCGCAGCCGCAACGTTCCGGAAGCCCCAGGCGGTCTTTCTGCCGAGACTAGGTCCCGGCCCCCACCCTCCCCGCCCCGTCGGTTGTTGTCTGGGCGGGTGAGTGTCTCCCCTCTCCCACCGCCCTTTGCCGGCCCACCTTCCCCTCACCCCGGTTTTTCCTGGGGACTCCTCAAGCTCTTGGGGACTGCGGTGGCTGCGGCACAGAGGGGCTGTTTCTGGGTCGGTGCTTTCCCGGCCGCCAGACTGGCGGTTCAGCACGGGAGAAGCCCGCTACTGCCGAGCGTGCGTGCCCCGGAGAGGAACCAGGCAGACCGCTTGCTGTTCGGCTTTCTCTGCAGGAAGCCCGAGTCTGGGCTGCGGGAGAAAGTGAACGGGAGCCGCGGGTGGTTTTATTTTTAGGGCCAGACAGTCTACACGGGTGGAGGCATATAATGGAGTAAAAAGCAGAGAGTCGTAGCTGGAAGGGAAAAACTCAGCCACCCTGAAATCCACACTATCTCGTTTACCCGTCTTCAGCCCTTTCTGGATATGATGAAGTCACTAGGAAGCGTCCTTTGTTGTGATTGAGGATACAGGAAATCTGCCATCCTGGAAGCGAGAGCTTTTTGACTCCTGTTCGTTTACGAATTTTAAGGATTCCCATTTTATATTCGTTTAGTAAGTGGGTCCAGGGCAGACGGTAAAGAGGTAGCGCCCAGTATTGGAACGAATACCGTGAAGTCCCGTGTTGCTGTTTAAAGCCAAAGTTCGCCAGAGTGAGTGGCTGTTTAACATGTTAGGATTTTAGCCAAGATGGCATTTGTTAGCCGTAGAGTCAGGCAGTTTTGACTTGCCCCCGTTAGCAAAATCAAGGATGTGGCTTTACTAATACAATTTTTTTCGTTCTGCATCATACGAGTAGGATGAACTCCACTCGTGTAGTATCTACATTTGTGGAAAGGACCTTCCAATTTTTGTTTTGTTTTGTCAAACTGTTACATACAGCAACTTGGAAAGCAGAAAACCTTCCAGGTATTTTAGTCTTGAGACCCTTAAGGAGGCGTTCTCACTATCTAGGGAAGATAACAGAACGCTTGTGTTCCCACTTCAGGTGACTGCTTACGCAGATTCCTTTAGTGTAGCCTGCTCCCAGCCTGCTTCCCTTGGTGATAAAGACATCAGAAAACCAAACCACCTTCGCGTCCTAACGCGATTCCAAAAAATCCTCTCAGATAACTCACTAGTGGAGTTGTTTCTGTGGTAAACAGCAAGAAAGACCAACAAAACCGTAATCAGTTGCCCCCTATCAAATCCAGGAAGAGTTCTCTTAGGAGTTTGTTTCTTCTTTGAAGAGTATGTCCTTGTGGTGGAACATGATCTTCTTTGGACCTTTCATCCTGTGATTTAGAATCATGCGGATGTTGAATGAAGAAAACTGTTTTCTCTTTTTTTTAGCTTTTGACCTTGTATGCTAACCTAGGACTGAATATTTTTGCTTAAACAAAATGCTTTGTTATACTTGGAGACAGTATTGATAAGAGCAGATAAGCAAAAAGAAATAATCAGCGAGGTGTGGTGTTGCATGCCTGTAACCCCAGTGACTGGGAAGGCTGAGGATCACAAGTTTGAGGCCAACCTCAGCAATTTCGGGAGTAGTGGGGCCCTATTTCAAAAAGGGTTGGGGATGTGGGTCAGTGGTTAGTTAGGTGTCCCTGGGTTTGATTTCTGGTACCAAAAAAGAATGATCAGTACGTCACCAGAAAAGTATGGTATCATACCATATATGCTTTTCTGCCACTTGCTTTTTCACATACGTGTACTTTTTTTGAGTAATAAAATTTTTTGCAGATTTAAACTTTGGACCTTAACTTTCAGGGAATATTTTCTGTGTTGGAAAAACTAATTATTAAAGTGGTTTTAAAAATTTGTCTCACCACCCCCTCTCCCCCGCAAAAAAAAAAAAAAAAGAAAAAAGTTTACTTCCCAAATCTCTATGATGCTATTTAAGATTTAAGAAATTAATCTTCATTATGTGTGACAAAGTAAGGCTTAGCTTAACTCTTGGGAAATCAGGCACAGGCCTGAGTTGACAGTATGGAAGTTTAAAAAGTATTTATTTAATGGTTTCATTGAAGTTAAGTTCAGTTATACTGTATTCCAAATTCTAATCAACTGTTCAGGACCTTAGTAGGAATGTCCTGGAAGATTTTACTTTACACAACATGCTTAATGTGTTTATTGACATTGGATCTGAGGGCTGTGCCCATTTAGTCTAGTTTTCAACATTGGCACCAAAATAACCTCCTCTGGAAGGTAACGTTCTCTTCACCTCAGCTTCAAAGGATAAATACCATGAAGTGTCCTAAATCTGCTAATAACCTACTTGGGATGGATTTCTCATAAACTTAGCTAAAACCTGTAAATGTCTATTTTCATTCTTTCTCTCTCTCTCTCTCTCTTTTTTTTTTTTTTTTGTAGTATTGGGGAATGGGCCCAGGGCTTTAAATACTAGGCAAGGGCTCTACCATTGATTCACATCCCTATCCCTCATTTTTATTCCTTGAATAATTAGTTCCAGGTGCTTACTACTTGTTATGTGACTTAATTCTTTCACCTTGATTTGCCTTAAATTATAGCATTCAATATGTATTCACTTCTTCCCACCTCTGCTGCCACCACTTTGCCACACTGTCACCATCTCTCATCTGATCCTCTTGAATAACCTTCTGGTCTCCCTCCTTTCATTTGGGCTTATATATTCCTTTTATCATAGCCTAAGAGATCCTTGAAACTCATTGTATCACCTTCTTGTGGAAAGTGTCCTATTCCAATTCAGAATAAAAAGCAAACTCCATATAGAACTTGCCAGGTACTAGATATTTTGACATTGCCTTTCTTTCTTTCTTTGTAACCTTCTGCCTAGTTCAGTGCTTTGGAGTCTAGCCACCTATGTGTCTTTTAGTTTCTGTTCTCTTCAGCATTGCTGTTTTTGGAACTTGCCAAGCTAGATCTTGCTTCAGGGCCTTTGCAAGTGCCGTGCCCTGTGGTTTCATAATTCTTTGAGATCTTGCTTTTGTTGATTCCGTGGTGCCATTCCGTGGTGGCAGTTCAGATGTTGGCTATTCAAGGAGATTACCCTGTCTTTCCTTTGTTATTTATAACAACACTTCACTATCCTGAATTCCCCCCTTTAAAATTGTCTGTCTCCATTGGAGATTAGTTCTTTGAGAATGAGGGCCTTGTCTGTTCTTTAATTCTTGCTTTAGGCCAGTCCTTTCTATGAAAGAATCTACTTTTAGCCTGTTTTTATGGGATAGTGCCTGAATTCTCTTCAATAATTTTTAAATTTATTTTTTAGTTGTTGATAGACCTTTATTTTATTTTTTTATATGCAGTGCTGAGAAACCAACTCAGTGCCTCACACATGCCAGGCAAGTGTGCTACCTCTGAGCCCCAGCCTCTCTTCAATAATTCTTTAATGCAGTTCTGAGGATTGAACCTAGTGTCTCAGGCATGCCAGGCAAGCACTCTACCACTGACCTACATCCCAAGCCTTCAATAACTCCTGATATCTGGGCAAGAGAACACTCTCATCATATTTCAAACCAATGAAATTAAGCCCTGGAGAAATGCATCTACAGGCTCCTCAGGTGACTGTAATATACATTAAAGTTTGCAAATGTCTCTTAATATTTTAATATTTTCTGGGAGATTACTTTTAGCTTTATAGTAGTAATGATAAGTTCTTTTATTTTTATTTTTTATTTATTTTTTTGATGGTGCTGGGGATTGAACCCAGGGACTTGTGCATGCAATTGTGCATGCAAGGCAAGCATACCACCAACTAAGCTACATCCCAGCCCCCCCTCCTTTTTTTTTTAACACTATCAGTTACTAAGCTAAAAATTACTCTCATGTATTTTTTGTTCAACTGCAAAGCAACCCAGAAGAGGAATTCCTATTCCCATTTACAAATGAAGTTTAGACATAGTAAGTGGTACAAGCTTGGATTTGAACCTCAATCTGTGATCTTTATCATTGTACCCTACTGCTTCTGAACTATAGCATTTGGAACTGTACACAGTACTTTGGTTAAGATAGGCCATGTTTTGTTAAAGGACAGGATATATTCTCTGCTTCATTTCTGATCCTGTCTTCAAGGCTCCATTTTTTTTTTTTTTTTTTTTTTGTGTGTGTGTGGTTGTTGTTGTTTGGTTTAGCCTGAAGTTGCTTAGTTGGGAAATGGCCTTCAGAAACACTCTATGCTACTGGGGAAACTGAAGTGGGGGGGATTTCTTGAGTTTAGAAATTCAAGGCCAGACTGAGCAATATTGTGAGACACTGTGTCAAAAAAAAACATAGAAAGACTCCCAGTTGTCTTGCTTTTTTTGTATTGAGTTCTGAGAGTCTACTGAGCTAAAAATAAATTCAGAGTATTTTTTCCTTCCATGTATATTACATTGCATTCCCCACATCAGAAACCATTCTACTTGCTGGGTGCAGTGGTGCAGGTCTGTAATCCCAGTGGTTTAGAGGCTGAGACAGGAGAATTGCAAATTCAGAGCCAGCCTCAGCAACAGCTAGGTGCTAACTAACTTAATGAGACCCTGTCTCTAAGTAAAATACAAATAGGGCTGGGATGTGGCTCAGGGGTTGAGTGTCCCTGAGTTCAATCCCTGGTTCTCCCCCCCACCACCACCAAAAAAAAGAAACTCTTCTTGCTGAGCTTGCCATGATGGCCCATGCCTGTAATCCTAGTGACTCAGGAGACTGAGACAGAAGGGTCTCAAGTTTGAGGTCTGCCTGGCAATTTAATAAGGCACTAAGAAACTTAGTAAGACCCTGTCTCAAAAAATAAGAGCCTGATGTGGTGGCACATGCCTGTAATCCCAGCAATTTGGGAGGCTGAGGTAGGAAGAACAAAAGTTCCAGCTACAGCAATTTAGTGAGACCCTAAGCAACTTAGTGAAACCCTGTCTCAGAATTTAAAAAAGGGCTGGGAATGTGGTTTAGTGGTTAAGCACCACTGGGTTCAATCTCAGGTACCAAAATCATAAATAAATAAAAAAGACTGGAGATGTAGCTTAGTGGTAAAGTACCCCTAGGTTCAATTCCCAGGTCCCCTACCATCACCAAAAAAAAAAAAAAAACAACAACAACAAAAAAAAAAACAGAAAACCAGGAGCCTGAGGCAGGAGGATTGTAAATTCAAGATGACCCTGGTATAACTCAGTCACAGATACTTGTCTAAACATCCAATTAAATGGATTATATATGTAACTCAGTGGTAGAGCACTTGTCTTGCACGTGTAAGTCCCTGGGTTTGATCCCCAGTACTTCTTTGTTCCACATCACTTATCACCTTCTACCTCTTGGTAAGTCATTTGAGTTCTTTCTTTATTGATTTTTACTTTTTGGACTGCTTTTGCATGATCATAAACTACAGAGAGTTCTTAATGTAAGACTTCTTTCCAAATGAGTGAAAATAATGTTAAATTTGATTGTTACATTGATTTTGGGGGAGACTTCAACCCAGAGAAGTACTGGTGGTTTTTTTTTTTTTTTAAAGAGAGAATTTTTTTTTGATATTTAATTTTTAGTTATTGGCGGACACAACATCTTTGTTTGTATGTGGTGCTGAGGATCGAACCCGGGCCGCACGCATGCCAGGCGAGTGCGCTACCGCTTGAGGCACATCCCCAGCCCCAGTACTGGTGGTTTTATAGTTTTCCTTTATAGTCTTTTAAACTGGCTAAGTCTATTTCTGTGAAGACTTAGTCCTTTACCAGACCTCTAGCCTAACTTAGCCACCTTAGACTTCTATAAACAGCCAGGCTCTCTCCTATCACTTTACCTAATTGTAAAATTGAAAAGTTGTAAAAGAAGTAATGTATAAAACCAACAATGAATGCATAATCATCTTAGAAGTACTTTCTGTATATGTATTTCCTTGTCTTTTTTTTTTTTTTTAATTCCAGTGGGGGCTGAGAATGTAACTTGGTGATAGAGTGCTTACCTAACATTATGAGGCCCTGGGTTCCATTCTCAATGCTGCAAGAAAAATAAAATTGATGTAAAGGGTATATACCCACATATTTTTTTAAAGGTTTTTTTGTAGTTGTTGATAGACATTTATTTTATTTATTTATATGCGGTGCCGAGAATCGAACCAAGTGCCTCACACATGGGAGGCAATCCCAGCCCCTACCCACATATTCTTATATACTTTTGTTTGTTTAATACAGTGAGCTTCTCAGCTTGTCCTTTAGAGACTTTCTGAACATGATTTTTATGGTGCTAGAGATTAAACCCAGGTCCCTAAATATGATTTTTTTCTTGAAGTACTAGATCTTGAACCCCGGGGCACTCTACCACTGAGCTATATATTCCCTGCCCTTTTAATTTTTTTATTTTAAGGCAGGGTCTTATAGGTGGGTACAGTGGGGTACACCTGTAATCCCAGTGACTCAGGAGGCTAAGATAGGAGGATCCCAAGGTCAGCCATAGCAACTTTGTGAGGCCCTAGTAACTTAATGAGACCCTGTCTCAACAAATGGGTTGGGGATGTATCTCAGTGGGTTCAGGCCCCAGTACCAAAAAAGAGGGGGGGGGTCCTCACTAATTTTTGTAGGCTAGCCTCAAACTTGCAATCCTCCTGTCTTCGGCCTCCCAAATAGCTGGGATTACAGGCATGTAACACCATGCCTGGCCTAAACAATATTTTTTTAAAAAATAAATTTTTGATTGTAGGTGGACACAATCTCTTTATTTATTTTTAGGTAGTGCTGAGGATTGAACCCAGTGCCTCATATGTGCCAGGTGAGCACTCTATCATTGAGCCACAACCTCAGTCCCCTAAACCTGATTTGTAACTTACTGTATATTATAAGATATTTTGAATAAACTGGCTTGGAGCTCAGTTCAAGTTGGATATGAATGGTTTTATTACTATTATAATACTGTGATGGTCCATTGCTTTAAATATTTAATCAAAGCTCTGAAGAATTACATAGTCTAATTTTAATATATGCCATATTAAAGACACCTTAATGATTTGAAACAAAGGATTTTAATCATAATTCAACAGCTATAAACAGTGTACATGTACTCAGGTATGCCTAGAAAATATATGAAAGTAGAAGGTGTCTCTGAGGAAAGTAACTTACTTTTCTGTTTTTTTTTGGGGCGGTGGGGTGGGGGAAATGGTATTTGAACATTTTAACTTGAAATATGTATTGATTTAAAATAATTATCTTAGGAAAGTATGTTTTCTAAGCTAAAACAATTTTTAAGTGCATAGTAGAGCCTATACATATATTTAGTGACATTTTAAATTTTACTATTTTTATTTTGGAGAAAGTTTCCTTTTCGTTGCTTATTTTCATATTGAATTTTCACTTCCCATTTTTCTTTTTTTAAATTTAGGTCAAAGCACAAATGTATCAGCTTTGTAAAAGTACAAAATAAAGCTAGTTTATGCTTGCCTGCACTTATTGACAAGTATTATAAGTGCAAAGATTTCAAAATTTAACACCTAATAAAGGTACTCCACATCAAGTTAGGGATGCAATTATCATCTTCAGTGGTACACATGAGAATTAGAAGTCAGTCTTTTGGCTGTTGTGTTTTGTCTTACAACATAATTCTGTTTTGTTGTTGTTTGTTTCTTTGTACTGGAGATTGAATCTAGGGGTGTTTTACCCCTGAGCTACATATCCCATCCTTTTATATTTTGAGACAGGGTCTAGCTATGTCACTTAGGGCTTCACTAAATTGCTAAAGCTGGTTGGCCTCTGGTATTTGATCCTCCTGCCTCCTGAGTCACTGGGATTACTGTTGTGTGCCACTATGCTCAATACAACAGTTGTTAAAACATGAATTTATGATTGTCCTTTGGTGCCAGGACCCCCAGAGACACCAAAGTCCAAGTCTCTTAGATACACATGGTGTAGTATTTATGGTGCACATATATATGTGCACACAACCATATATCCTCCCACTCCCGATGGGGATTGGACCCAGGGTCTTGTGCATGCTCAGCAAGCACTGTATCGTGATCTACAATGGCAGCCAACCTCAGATATTTATTTTGAGATGGAGTTTTGTTGCCCAGGCAGGCTTTGAAATCTTAATCCTCCTACCTCAACCTCCCAAGTACCTGGGATTACCAGCATGTGCCACCATACCCAGTTCTCATATATTTTAAATACATCCCTAAATTATTTTTTGTGTTGCCTGAAAAGACCCAGGGCCTCACTTATGATCCTCATGTCTCAGCCTTTTCTGAGTAGCTGGAATTATAGACGTGTGTCATTATGCTCAGCTCATTTGTGATAAATTTTACCCCTGGATCTTGACCAGGTAGAAAAAATCTTTGGTATCATACATGAGTAAATTACAGCCAGGAAAAGACAAATTAGTAGGTGAAGAACTGAGCTTCAGAATACAAGGTGCCTTTCTTCCCTTTTATGTAGAAGAATGATAGCTGTGGTCCCAGGGGAACATAAAACACTCCAGTATAGGCCTGAGTGTTAAAGGTACTTTAGATTCGAATTGGCCCATTACTTTTTCACTTATAAAGCAACCTTACAAATTCTTGGTCTTTAAAAAAAAATTTATTTTTAAACATGGACATGTGCCTTTATTTTATTTGTTTATTTTTTTATGTGGTGCTAAGGATTGAACCCAGTGTCTAGACAAGCACTCTGCCACTGAGCTACAACCCTAGACCCCTTACTCAGTCTTTACGTAACCTTTTAAAATAAATAGTTTTAGCTATCATTTCTCTTTTATAGATAAAGTTACAGAGAGGTTGATTATTCGTTTCTTAGTAGGAGCCTTTGAGGATGATTTGCTCATGAAGGCTCTTCATGAATAGGACAAATTCTCTTATAAAATCGGCCCTAGATGCCTTGCATGGTGGCACACACTTGTAATTCCAGTGGCCCTGTGACTGTGAGTTTTAAGGCCAGCCTTAGCAACTTCGTGAGGTCTTGAACAACTTAGCAAGACCCTGTCTCAAAATAAAAAAAAGGACTGGGAATGTGGCTTAGTGGTAGAGTACCCCTGATTCAGTCCTTGGTACCAAAACAAACAAAGCCCTTGAGGGCTATTGTTTCCTTTCACCTTATAAGGACACAGAAAAAAGTGCCCCCCCCCCAGGCACTGAGTACACTTTTTGATTTGGGACATTCCAGCTTCCCAGATTGTGAGAAATAAGTTTCTGTTTTTATAAGCTATGCAGTCTATGGCTGGTCATAACTGGCAGATGTGGAATAAGATCTAATTGGGAATTTAACTGACTTCCTGTCCAAACTTTGTCACATTATATATGCAATCCTGGTCAAATTGCTACCTTATCTGAAAAAGTTTTCCTCATGTTTATTTATATTTTGGGGGGGATTGAATCCAGGGGTGCTTTAATAATGAGCTACATTCTCACCCCTTTTTTAATGTTTTATTTTAGAATTTCATTAAATTGCTCAGGGCCTTGTTCATTTCTGAGGCTGGCATCTAACATTTGATTCCCCTGTCTCATCCTTCTTTGTCGATGTGCCACTGTACCTGTTTTTCTCTCTCTCTCTTTTTTTTTCCCCTGTACTGGGGATGGAACCCAGGGGTGCTTGACTGCTAAGCCACATCCCCAGCCCTTTTATTTTTTGAGACATGGTCTCACTCAGTTGCTGAGGATGGCTTCGAATTTGCCTCAGCCTTCTGAGATGCTGGGATTATAGGCACGTGCCACCATGCCTTGTTTTCCTAATTTTTTAAAAAACTATTTTATTTACATTTTAGTTTTCGGCAGACACAATATCTTTTGTATGTGGTGCTGAGGATCGAACCCAGGCCGCACCCATGCCAGAAGAGCGTGCTACCACTTGAGCCACATCCCCAGCCCCAGTTTTTCTCATTTTTAAAATGGATAATTTTCCTGTTTTGATGTTATCAGAAGGGTTTTTGTTTATATGTGAAAGTAACTAGTAAAGCTACATTCCTTTTTTTAACTTATTGAGATATCATTTTTTCTCATTCTCCATTTTTATTGGTACCTTATGTTTGTACATAATGAGTCAATATAACAATGTAATTTTGACCAATATCACTCCCCAGCTAGTAAAGCTACATTCTAATAAAAAACTATTAAGGCATAGCTATATTTGTTTCTGCCCAATCTCTGATAAAAAATAAAGTAACTGGTCATGGTGGCACATACCTGTAATTCTAGCTACTTGGTAGACTGAGGCAGGAGTATTGCAAGTTCGAGGCTAGCCTCAGTAACTTAGACAAACTTAGTGTCTCAAAATAAAACATAATAAGGGCTGGGGATGTAGCTCTGTGGTAGAGAATCCCTGGGCTCAATCCCCAGTACTGAAAAAAGAAAAAAAAGAAAGTAGGACTAGAGGTAAATCTTAGTGGTGGAATGCTTGCCTGGTATGTGAGGCCCTGGGTTTGGTCCCCAGTACTTAAAAAAAAAAAAAAAGAATAGAGTAAACTCAAATATAGTTTTCCTGAACATGCTGGTGGCTATTCTAATAGTTTCTAAAATGGTTCACTATTAGTTTTAAAACTGGAAGTTTATTCGGTAAAATTGGTGCTTTATTTTATTTTTTATAAAAATGCATTAGAATACTTTTTCTGAGTTCTGTTTTCTGTTTGGTTTTGAGGTTCTGGTAATGGAACCCAGAGCCTTGTGCATGGTAGGTAAGCACCACTGAGCTAAGCCTCCAACCCTATTTTTCCAAAAATAAAATCCCCCTTTCCCATTATCCCAAGTACCACAAAACAAAAAAATTGCATGCATTCTAATTTGTTACTTCTCTTGCTGTGGATTGAAAAATTTTTTATATCATTCTTCTTCATTGTAAAGATTCAGCTGGCTATGTGAAAAAGGGATTCCATCATAAATCACCTACTTAATATACATTAAATGTTAATTTTCTGACCTTGAGTTAGCCTTTGTTATCTCACAGGAAGAGCCTTGTAGGGTGTGAGGGAAATGGAGGAGATTGTTTGGTATCTACATAAAAACATTTAAAACCAGTTGAGATGATAGTGTGGCACATAAATGTAATCACATCTACTCTGGAGGCTGAAAGAAGAAATGGAAAGTTTGAGGCCAGTCTGGCAATTTATTGAGGCCCTGTATAAAAAAAAAAAAAAAAAGAGTGAGGCTCCTTGGGATGTAACTCTGTAGTAAATGTACAAAGGAAGAAGTAAAATCCTGCTACCCAGAGATATGTTTATTTTTATACCTATTTAAATATACTTTTGTGATAATTTCCTCATGTTATTAAGAAAGAAAATGAAACATTTGGCTACATAATGATTTATTGTATGTGTCATAATTTATTTTATTTAATTGATTTTATTTTTTTAAATATACAACAGCAGAATACATTATAATTCTTATTATACATATAGAGCACAATTTTCCATATCTCTGTATATAAAGTGTGTTCACACCAATTGATATCTTTATACATGTACTTTTTTTTTGCATTACAATTCTTATTACACATATATGTGTAATTTTTTCATATCTCTGTATATAAAGTAGGTTGACACCCAATTTATGTCTTCATACATGTACTTTGGATAATGATGTCCATCACATTCCACCATCCTTGCTAATTCCCTGCCTTCCCCTCTCATCCCTAGTATGTGTCATAATTTAAACATTCCCTTTGAGACATTTAATTGTTTTTCACTTTTTAAAGCTAGGGGATAATCTACCTTTGTATGTAAAATTTCATATTTCAGATTATTTTTCTTGATATAGTAATAGAATTATTCAGGGGATGTGAACATTTTTAAACTTT